ATCGGCGAAGATCGGCAGGCCAACACGCTTCCCACAAGAGATCGGAACCCAAGTCGGAACCCCGAGGCGAATGGGAGCGGGATGGGAAGCCATCCAGATCGAGTCGAATCAGAGGACTCGAGGCGAGCCCCGGCACCTGCGCCAGTGCGGCTGCCCCGGGCCGTGGAGGTGCTGGAGCTGCTGGAAAAAAAGGGGGGCGCCAGCTCGGCACCGAACTGCACCGACCCTGGGCCCACGACGGGCCTGGACAGGATCCGGGTCGGTGGAAACCAAAAGGTTTGGACGCCCGAAATAGGGGGGGTACAATGACCAACAACAAATGTTGTCCCAAACCAACAGCGGCCGCTGTTGGGCAGGCGGCCTTCTGTCTCAAATGGACACAGGCCGCGGCGGCGCGGACAGCGAGTCCTGTTCAAAATGAACAGGAACTGCTGTTGGGCATTGTACCCATCCTTTCCGTACCCATGCCTGTCGTCCCGACAAGGGTACCGATATACCGCTGCTCCCCAGACCTCTCCCGGGGCGCGCTCTGGCTGGGATCTCGGGGCGAATCCAGCGGGGGCAACGAGGGCCGCCCCAGGAGGGCCCCACGAGGGGAGCACGAGGCAGGGGTAGAGGTATGGGTGCCTTTTCCTCATCGGGGTGTCGCGCCACTGGAGATGAGAGCGAGATGCGATGGCAGGAGCTGGGAGGAGCCTCCTGGGCGATCTTGGGGCGACCTTGGGGGCCTCTTGGGCCGTCTTGGGCCGTCCGAAGACCGAAAGAGCGCAAATTACAAAATCCGCCAAAAACCTTTGGACAAAAAGCAAGAGATTAGGGTTTCTTCGAGCCTTCCTGGAGGACCTCTTGGCATCAAATGGCTGATCCACGCAAGCTGGGACGACAAACCAGGGCCCAGACAGAAAAAAACAGACCACGCATGGCGACCCTACGAGAACACGATGGACCAGACAATGGAATTCAGTAGCGTCTTGCCCGGTGGCGAGTGGTGCGTTACGCAGTTCGAATTTACCAGCGACTCCGTGGTCCTAGTCGCTCGAAATGCCCAAGGCCTTGACAGCCTGTATTTTTTGTGGAGGGGACTCGCGTTCTTACCGTTTAAGGGGTTCGGTGCCCAAGTGGTTCGAACTACTGGCTCTGAACCCTACCGTCTTTAGGTGACTCAGAATTTGAAGCCAACGACGATGGTTGCAGTTGATACATTACACTTGGGTCCCCGCGGCCTGCACATCCAGGAAATTCACCATCTTGCCACCCAGACGAAACAAGCGAGAGTGAGCGACAGCGGCAGGAACATGGACATGAGCACGAGCAGGGCGCAGGAGCGGAAGAGAGGAAACAAAGTAAGGAAGACACGGGCGCACACCTCTGACGTCGTGCATTTTCAAATCGGTGCGCCTCGGACTCTCGACGCCGTCCCTCCGGCCACTTTTTCGTCGCGAAAGGTTGTCTGAGAATCCCGACGCTCAACAAAAAACCTGGAGGCCACAATCGAGAAAAAGTGCTTACAAGCGCGGACCTCAAACAGTGCGTCATTGACCCTGGATGCGTAATATATGCCTAATCGTCTATATATACACATATACGTATATAGATATAAACATACATATACGTCTGTTTATACACGTAGAAATATGGAGTATCATCTCTGTTGTGGACTCGACGCGATACAATCTGGCGATGTGCGGCCAGCTATGTGGTGCGAGTAGCGAATGTTCACTGGTGAATTGTCAACTACACTCCTCGCACAATCATCCCACCCTCCCACCGCAACCTGGTTTGCACAACCCATGCGGCTGCGATTGCGGCGACTCCTTGGCACTGGCTGACGCATTTCTGCGGCTGCGCTAGCGCGAGCAAGCTCGAGCGCAGAGCGACCAGCTAGTTCGACACAACCAATGCGGCCGCGATGGCGCTTAACTTCACAGCGCGTCTTCAAGGCCGCGCTAACGCGCGGGCATTTCGCTGTGGAACGGTGACTCGGGCGGGCGCGGCACCACGAAGACGTCGATAACGACGGCAACGATGATGATGATGATGATGATGAAGATGATGATAATGATGATGATGATAATGCTGATGCTGATGCTGATGCTCATGCTCATGCTGATGCTGATGCTGATGCTGATGCTGATGCTGATGCTGATGCTGATGCTGATGCTGATGCTGATGCTGATGCTGATGCTGATGCTGATGATGATGCTGATGCTGATGCTGATGCTGATGCTGATGCTGATGCTGATGCTGATGCTGATGATGCTGATGATGATGCTGATGATGATGATGATGATGATGATGATGATGATGATGATGATGATGATGATGATGATGATGATGATGATGATGATGATGATGATGATGATGATGATGATAATAGAGATGGTGGCGGCTATATACGGCTATATAAGATGACGGCGGCATGGCCTTTGACGGCGTGATGTGATGAAGGTGCTCGAGTGGCGATGGCGGAAATGGCGGCGATTGTCGATGACGGTGACGTGATGCGGCGGCAGTGATTGGGGTGATGGTGGGAAAGTGCGCGCGCGGAGTTGCAAGAGCCCTAGCAAACTTCTGGTTGAAAACAAACTAGTGTTTGATATGGGTTCCAAAGGTCTACCTTGACACGCGCCAAAAACAGTTGGTTTGGACGGATTTCGACACGCGCGCGTGGCGGAGGGTGCCCGTGTCCCGCATGGCATTTTTCGTGACGGAGTTGCGCACTTGGCGCATGCTGGAACAACGCGGCCCCGACCCCAGCCCTGTCCCCGCCCCGTCCCCGGCCGCGTGCCGCGGCCGCGCCCCCCGGCCCCGGCCACAGCCCTGGGGTCCCAGCCCCGGCCCTGGGGTCCAGGGAGGAGGGTCTGGGGTCACGGAGGGGGTCCTGCGTTCAGGGTCGGCACCGGCCGCAAGGCCTTCACCATCGTTGATGTTCCTTTCCGATGGGTTTTGCAAATTGTTCGCATGCCTCCGAAAAGGCCCCACGGTGGCCTCACAGGCCCCCAAGAGGCACCAGGACGGCTCTAGAGAGGGCCCCAAGATGGCCCAAAGAGACCCCCAACACGGCTCAAGAGGCCCAGTCGGTCCAAGAGGACCCCAAGAGAGCCACAAGGAGGCCCCGAGAGACCCCCAAGACGGCCTCCGAAAAGGTCAAACGAAGCAATAAGGCCCCAAGACGGCCCGCAAAAGGCTCCAAGATGCCCTAAAGAGGCCCCCAAAAGAGGCTCCCAAGAAACCTCCATGAGGCCAGAGGCCCCGAAACGGTCCCAAGAAACCACCGAGAGGCCCGCGGAATTGTACGAATGGCGCGTCCTTGCTGTGCTCATTCGAGCATGACCTTGGCGTTGTCTTGTGCCGACACGCGGTGGAGGCTCGTTGCCCTCGTGAATATTCGCACGTTTCTCCAGGCGACGAAACGGAGACGGGAGGAGCCCATCTGCCCCCCAGAACGCTGGCAGCGCCCCGGAGCGGGCAGAACGCCACCCCCCACGAGGGCCCAAAGACAGGCCAAGACGGCCTCGAGACGGCCCCAGAGACGCCTCGGACGGCCCAAGAGACTCGAAGACGGCCCCAAGTGGAACCCAAGAGGGGGAGCCCGAACCGACAATTCGAGCTTTCCGCCCCAAAATACCCCCAGGAGGCCCAAGAGGATCCCAAGAGGCCCCAGGAGGCCCCCAAGAGGCCCAGAGACGCCCCAAGAGGCCCCAAAACGGCCCCCTGGTATCAAAACTGCCCCAAGAAGCCCCCGAGAGGCCTCCCCCAGCACCCCAACGAACAAACAAGAGGCCTATGGCCCGCAAATCCGTCATGGTGGCGGGATGGGCCGAAGGCCATTCGATACGTCGTGCAAGCTACGTAGCGCAAGCTACATGGTGCAAACTACGTGGCGCATCTACAGCGGACCCCACTTGGACGCTACTGGCGCCCATCAGGCGAAACCTCGGCGGACTCAGCCAGCGCCCTTGGCGCCAACGAGGCGCCCACGACAGGCCATAAGCCGGGCACCAGTTACAACCATGCCACAACCACCCAGCGCACGGTGCGCCCATGATGCGCCCACGACCGGCCATCAACCAGGCACCAAGCAAACTCAGACACACCCATCCAATCACCTTAGAACGCAAGTACGAGCCCCTAAGTGCAAGCAATGCTTGAAGAAAAAACGCCACTCTGGAGAGAAAGGGAGGAGGAATCGAAGGCGGAGGCGGAGGCCGAGACGGAGGTGGTCCTGGCGGAAGAGGAGCACTCGCCGACACTGGGATTGCCACACATCAAACGCCAGGGAGACCCATCTCTCAGGGCCATTCGAGAAGCAGCTGGACAAGGACACCTTTGGGGCCCCAGGAGATATCCCCATCCACCGCCTCCTGGGGTCCAGGCACTTAGGTTCCCGAGGCGGCGCCGACCGGCTCGCGACGCTGCTCGCAGACCTCCTGACCTCTCGTGACGGCTGGAGACAGTCTCGTACTCGCACGAATCACATGTTCCGGTGTTCCCGATGCTGCAGGTTCTGCGGGCATCCCTGGCCGAGCCTTCGGCATCTGTGGCAGGAGTGCCCGCAGTTCCAGTCCAGGCGAGACGAGATCAGTCTCAAGCATTTCCTGGCCCCCACCTTCTGGACCGGCCAGCCGAGGGTGACGAGCAAGAGTGGCTGGGTGACGAAGTCTGCGTCTGTTTCCATTGACAGGCGAGTGAAGTACCAGTCTCTTGGGATGGCAGTTGTTCGAGATGGTCTTGAGCCTGGTCCTCAACGTCGCTGAGATGGACTTGCTGAGGTCTCACCTTTTCTCTGCTCGCAGACCTGCGCGACCAGCTGGAGCTGGGCAAGCGCCGCGCGCAGGAGGCGCTCCTGGGGGCTCGCTGAGTGCGACACCCGGTCGCGCGGGAACGCAGGCCCAGACTCCAACCAGAAGAGCCGGCACGAGCAGCAGCTCTTGGTGGGCCCGCGCGGACTCCTCGGGTCGGCCGCTTGGGCGCTCGGCCGTCGCCAAGGGCCCCGCGGGCTACAGCTCCGCAGGGGCGGGGGCCACGCGCGCCAGCACCGCCACCTCGAACTCGGAGGGCGTGCCCCACCTCGTGGCCGGCAGCTGCACCGTTGAGCATCGTCTGCTCTGGATGGGGCAATAATCGCCCCCCCTGGAATCCACTGGGGGGGTTGGGCACGTGCTGTCGGAACGGGTGGGGGGGTTCGGAGGAGGAGAAGGAGGAGGAGGAGGAGGAGAAGGAGGGGGCGGAGGAGAAGGAGGAGGAGAAGGAGGAGGAGGAGGAGGAGGACCAGTGTAAACCCAAGAGCCACCAACGATGTTGGAATAAACCCTCCCCCAAAGCTCCCTCTTCATAGGCCCCTACAGCGGGTCATTTCCACAGAAGGACCTGCCTCGTTGGAAGACAACCGTTGACAGACCCTGAAGCATGCCAAAACATTATTCTCGGAATTCCAACGCCACGGATGAACCTGACTATTGCGTCTAGACGAAACTGAATCGTGCCGGAACGCCATTCCTGGGACCTGAACTCCGCGAATCATCGTACCTGTTGCGCCCTCAAGGTCATGAATCCTTCCTAAACACCATGTCTGGTACGTCGATAATGGGAATCCGTGAAACTTCTGCAATGTTTAGCAAGAATGTGCGCGGCGCTAAGGCGAGAGCCACATGTTGAAAACGACCCGCCCTCAATCCGTGAAACTCTTGCAAGTTTTGAAAACGAATGTGCGCGGCGCTAAGGCGAGAGCCACAGTTTGAAAACCACCCGCCCTCAATCAGTGAGACTCTTGCAAATGTTTAAAACGCCTGTGCGCGGCGCGAAAGCGAGAGCCACATTTTGAAAAAGGAGTCGCCCTCAATCCGTGAAACTCTTGCAAGGTTTGAAAACGAATGTGCGCGGCGCTAAGGCGAGAGCCACATGTTGAAAACGACCCGCCCTCAATCCGTGAAACTCTTGCAAATGTTGAAAACGAATGTGCGCGGCGCTGAGGCGAGAGCCACAGTTTGAAAACCACCAGCCCTCCAATTGTGAAACTGTTGCCAATGTTTAAGCGTCAGGGTCATCAATGGTGAGGAAGTCTCAGGCGAAACGCCTGGCCCGCCCTAAAAACTGGCCTCGGGGTGCGACAGGGAGAAGTTACTTATAGGGAGAAAAAATGGAGGTGGAGGGGGGCGGGATTGGGCAAGCTCAGTCGGAAGGTTAATTAACCCCCCTTGATAAATACCCTATCAAGGGTAACCGATCCCCACTGGTGGCATGGCCTTGGTCCCGCCGGCCGGCCTACCCCAGTGGGCGGGGATGTATGCCGTTACCCCTCGGGCTTCGCGAGACCATTCCCCACCTAGTGGGGTGGGCTGGTGGGGCTGAAATACGATGGCCCAGAGGGGATGGGGATCGGTTACTCTAGGTGGAATATTTATCGAGGTGTGGGCGACTGACCTTCAAACGGAGCTTGCACATCGCCCCCCCTCCTGCTCCTCCTCCTCCTCCTCCTCCTCCTCCTCCTCCTCTCCTCCTGCTCCTCCTCCTCCTCCTCCTCCTCCTCCTCCTTCCTCCTCCTCCTCCTCCCCTCCTCCTCCTCCTCCTCCTCCTCCTCCTCCTCCTCCTCCTCCTCCTCCTCCTCCTCCTCCTCCTCCTCCTCCTCCTCCTCCTCCTCCTCCTCCTCCTCCTCCTCCTCCTCCTCCTCCTCCTCCTCCTCCTCCTCCTCCTCCTCCTCATCCTCTCCTCCTCCTCCTCCTCCTCCTCCTCCTCCTCCTCCTCCTCCTCCTCCTCCTCCTCCTCCTCCTCCTCCTCCTCCTCCTCCTCCTCCTCCTCCTCCTCCCTCCTCCTCCTCCTCCTCCTCCTCCTCCTCCTCCTCCTCCTCCTCCTCCTCCCTCCTCCTCCTCCCCTCCTCCTCCTCCTCCTCCGCCTCCTCCTCCTCCTCCTCCTCCCTCCTCTCCCCTCCTCCTCCTCTCCTCCTCCTCCTCCTTCCTCCCCTCCTTCCTCCTCCTCCTCCTCTCCTCCTCCTCCTCCTCCTCCTCCTCCTCTCCTCCTCCTCCTCTCTCCTCCTCCTCCTCCTCCTCCTCCTCCTCCTCCTCCTCCTCCTCCTCCTCCTCCTCCTCTCCTCCTCCTCCTCCTCCTCCTCCTCCTTCCTCCTCCTCCTCCTCTCCTCCTCCTCCTCCTCCTCCTCCTCCTCCTCCTCCTCCTCCTCCGCCTCCTCCTCCTCCTCCTCCTCCTCCTCCTCTCCTCCTCCTCCTCCTCCTCCTCCTCCTCCTCCTCCTCCTCCTTCCTCCTCCTCCTCCTCCTCCTCCTCCTCCTCCTCCTCTCCTCCTCCTCATCCTCCTCCTCCCCTCCTCCTCCTCTCTCCTCCTCCTCCTCCTCCTCCTCCTCCTCCTCCTCCTCCTCCTCCTCCTCCTCCTCCTCCTCCTCCCTCCTCCTCCTCCTCCTCCTCCTCCTCCTCTCCTCCTCCTCCTCTCCCTCCTCTCCTCCTCCTCCTCCAAACCCCCTCCACCCGTGCCGACAGCACGTGCCCAACCCCCCCCCCCAGCGGATTCGGGGGGGGCGATGATTGTCCCACCCAAAGTAGACGATACTGAACAGCACAATCGAAGCATGGCCACAAGAACGTAGGCCAGGACCACATGTCCCCTTTGCCAGTACCCCAAGGCCCCATGGAGGTGTACCAGACACGACGAACATTCTGAGGTGCACAGTTCGAGCACGACGAACATATAGGCACCCTTCCAAACTGGGGCTGTTCTCTATCCCCGTCGCCCCAGCTGAACCACGAGTCCTGGCCAAGCCTATGTAGACCATACGTACCCCATACCCAGACCACCACGAAGGAGTGGGCCACCATCTTTAGCCAGGTCCCTTTGGGCCCCTGACCGGTGAACTTAGGTCACCTGGGCATCTTGACACCCACTGAGAGCGAATCGGTGCAAGACGGCCTCTACCCTGGCCCAGGCCAAAGATGGGCCTGGTTAGGGCTGATGGTGGCGTGTGGTCGCCAATACGTGTCCGATGCAGTTCCTGGCCCGGTCCGTGCTGGGCCCAGGACTGCCGCACACGCCCTCCTAGCTCTGCCACGACGGCCACAGCACCCATCCTGGGCACGCGACTGGCCCCGCCAGGACCAATGTGGGGGCGTCGCCCAGCGCGCCTAGGCAGAGAGCAGAAAATCCACCAAGTCGTTTAGCAAACGCGCCCAAAGAAGGAATCAAACAGGGCAAGGCTGTTTAGTAAACGCCCAGGGCCCAGGGCCGTTTAGAGAACGCCAGTGAACGCCAATTGTCGGGACGAGGTGGTTTTTCCTCCCTTGACTGTGGGACCCAAGATGTACCGACACTGGTACTCCTCGGGCCTCTCCTGGGATGCAGTCGGACTAGAATCCCGAGGCGAATCCAGCCGTGGCGACGAGAGCCTACCGGGAAGCTCAAGAAGGCGAAAATAAGGCAAGGGTAGCGGTATGGGTACCATGTCCTCCCCCGACCGACTGTAGAGGCCTACCAGATGGGGTCCGAGCAGATGGCGTCGGAGGATTGCGCCGATGCGTCGGCGATGTATCGACGATGCATCGGCCGAGCATCGGCGTGGCCGGCGTGGAGAAAATCAAGCTCCGCATCGAGCCGCATCGCCGCTGCATCGGCGATGCTGCACGATCCTCCGACCCCACCTGATCGAACCCCAGCTGACCGACTATCGAAAACGAGTCTTACGCGACATGACACAGCGACCTTACGGGGTGGCTTACGCGGGCCGCCAGCGCGGCACGCCGCATCTGAAGCGAGAGCGCTTGCGCGCGACCTTCAGCGGGCAGCTTACGTGCAAAGTTAGGCGCAGACGGCCCCGTCTTAGCGAAGACGTGCGGCTCGAAAGAAGGCGAACGCGCCAGGATCTCAGGGATCTGGGAAGCCCAGAGTTCCTCCCCCGACCCTGAGATCGGCAAGCCCAAGGCGATGACAATCTTAAGGATGTGGCCTCAGAAACTGAAGGAATCCCTGAGATCAGCACCGAGGCAATCCGATGCAAAACACAGGGACAGGGACAATATTCGAGAAGCTGGTAGCGACCGACTGCAGGGTTGTCTGTCAAGAGATGTCTGTGCGTGATCACCGTGCTCGTGGTTCTTGGACCAGCACCGTGCTCGTCGGCCTCACTGCTGGGGAGAGCCGCCGCCATTCTGCTGCACCCCTCGGGGTGGCTTCGGCGGTGTGGCGCGCCCTGGCGTCCTTCCAGACCGTTCTTTTCTCGCGGGCCCGAGCAGCGGGACCTCGTCTGCAGCCCGTAGTCGTCCCCCGGCACCACCCGCTCCTGAAGGAGCCAAGGGCCAAGGGACACACAAATAAGTACACACACAAATAAGAAGAGTCCCAGATTCCCCATAGTTCCCCATATGTTCTGGGTTTCTGTCTTCCCGCCCACTTCCCATACTTTCCCATATTTACTGGGGGAGGAGGAGGAGAAGGAGGAGGAGGAGGAGGAGGAGGAGGGGGAGGGGGAGGGGGAGGGGGTTTGGCGGAGGAGGAGGAGGAGGAGGAGGAGAAGGAATTGTGCCTGTGTGCTTCTTTTCCTCCCGAGCTCCACCCGCAGCGCCCCGCCGCCGAGCCGCCGGCCCCCGGCCAGGCCCTCCACGTCCCCGGCCCCGTGGCAGAGCGCGGCGATGCCGGAGCCCGGGCGGAGCAGCCGCGCCAGCACCGCCCAGAGGCGCTCCTCGGGGGCCCAGGTCTCCGATCCTGGGATTCGGCGCCTCCTCCTCCTCCTCCTCCTCCTCCCCCCCTCTCCTCCTCCTCCTCCTCCTCTTCCTCCTCCTCCTCCTCCCCCTCCTCCTCCTCCTCCTCCTCCTCCCCCTCCTCCTCCTCCTCCTCCTCCTCCTCCTCCTCCCCCCCCGCCCTCTCCTCTCCCTCCCCCCCTCCTGGGATTCGGCTCCTCCTCCTCCTCCTCCTCCTCCTCCTCCTCATCCTCCTCCTTCTCATCCTCATCCTCATCCTCATCCTCATCCTCATCCTCATCCTCCTCCTTATATCTTCCTACCCTCTGACCCTGGGATTCGGCTACACGCAAGAGTGCCCCTGCTAACAGAAACCTCGCCTCCCGTCCTGCGTGCATCGATGGCTCGATGGGCCTCGAGCCCCATCTTCCAAGGAGTGCGGCCTTCGGAACAAGGCTCAGAAACCTTCTCAAGAGGCCGGAGGACTTCCAAGCCCTCTGGTAAGCAAGAGTGACCCGGGGCAAGAGCGACCTTTGGTGCGCGGCTTCACGGGGGACGCCGGGTGGCCAGACCTGGGCGCGCAAGCCGCTGGTACTACGCTTCGCGTCCGGCGATCGGGAGACCCCACTGGGCCGCACCAGGGGTCACCCTGGCGAAAGGTCACTCTTGCGTCCAGTCGGGAGATGCTGGCGCTGCAGTGGTTTCGCCACGGGCGCCTGCGCCCAGCTTCGGGCCCCAAGACTCTCGCAGATCCGTGCGGCTCGAAAAACGGCGCCGAAAGGTGGGGTCTGGAGACCTAGCATTATTTTTATCGGCGGCGGGCGAGGGGGGGAAGTGAGAAGGAGAAGGCCTTCTCAGAAGGCGGCGGGGCTTCTCAGAATCCATCGGTCCCTCTGAGAAATTGTCTGCCTCTTCGGGGAAAGCTTAGGCAACTTTTCGAAGGCGGAGGGACTTCCGAGCCGTCTGAGAAGGCCCACCCCTTCTCACTTCCCCCTCATGGCTCGCCGCCGATAGTAACTGCGTTGCAATTGTTCTCTGCGTCGGATCTCAGAGGACGACGACGACGACGACGACGACGACGACGACGACGACGACGACTTTTTCAATGCTGGCGTTCTCCCTCGATCTCGGCATCCAGGGTAGGCCATCGGACCATGGGGCCGACAAGCATCAGCCTAGGACGAAACATCACCACCCAGGGAAGTGGTAGGGATCCCCTTGAGCCGTCGATTGAAGAATCACATCGGCTCATCCTCCTCCTCCTCCTCCTCCTCCTCCTCCTCCTCCTCCTCCTCCTCCTCCTCCTCCTCCTCCTCCTCCTCCTCCTCCTCCTCCTCCTCCTCCTCCTCCTCCTCCTCCTCCTCCTCCTCCTCCTCCTCCTCCTCCTCCTTCCTCTTCCTCCTCTTCCTCCTCCTTTGAGTTCCCCTCCGCCTCCTCCTCCTCCGCCTTTCCCTCCTCCCCTCCTCTTCCAAGGCCCAAAATGGCTGGAGGGGTAACCCCGGAACTCCGACGTCCCAGACCCCCGTACGTCACGATTTGTCCACGGCGTCGACCCCCAGAAATCTCGGCCCCTTCCCTGGGACCGGCTCTTCATCCTGAGTCGTTCCGTTGACGGCCCCGAGGCCCGGCAAGGGCCCCCAGAGACCGAAAACAGAAAAAAAACCTCCCGTGGTGATTTTTGTTCAGGGCTGAACCTAAGCGGTGTTTGTAGTTTTCGTTTTGTTTTCGTTTTCCCTCGCTGCCGCCTTTACCGCAAAACGAAGTCGAAACGAAAACGGCCCACGAAATCGAAAAAAAAAAAAAACGTTTAGGTCCACCCCTGGTTTTGTTCATGGCCCGAGGAGGTCTGGGGTCGTTCGGGGGCGCGCGAGCATGGACTCGCGATCCATGGATGTGGCGCGCGGTCGCCACATCCATGGATCGGGGGAGGTGACCTCCCCGAAATGCGGCCAGCGCCGCCTCGGTCGGCGGCAGAAATCCGCGATTCCCCGTGGAAACGGGGCCCGTCGCTAATCCACGCCGCCTTGATCCATGTTTGCGATCGCCTGAGTCGTGACATCTCCACGCGGCGCGGACCCCTGGAGGCCTGGACTCCACCCTTCCCCCGTTGGGCCAGCTGCTCGCCCCGAGCCCTCTCTGTCTGGCCACGGCCCTGGAGTCTGGCACTGCACCGGCTCGCCGTCTGCACGCACACCGTCCTGCATGGGCTTCCGTCGGCGGCGAGCGAGGGGGGGAAGCGAGAAAGAGGAAGCCCTCCCGAAGGCGGCGGGGCTCCTGAGGAGCGCTCCGGCCTTTTGAGGAGTCTTCTGGGTCCTCGGGGGAGCTTCGAAAACTTCTCGGACAGCCGGCGCACTTCCGAGCCTTCTGAGATGGCCCGCCCCTTCTCGCTTCCCCCCGGGGCTTACCGCCGGCTGTCAGGTACGCCTTCAGCATTTCAGCTTCTGCCGAGGCGCCACCAGGGCGCAGCTCTTGTCTTGCCTTGCCCAGAGTCTGGCAATGGCCCCCCAAAGGCCTCCAAGATGGGGTCGGAAAACATGGGGTCGCATCGCCGACACACTGGCGAGCAAGCGACATCGGCGATGCACCGGCGACGCCAGCGCGGCGAAGATCGGGCTCCACGCCGCGCCGCACCGCCGATGCATCGACGACATGGCGCGATCCTCCGACTCCATCCACTCGGACCCCATCTGGGAGACCTAGCCTTAGGTCAGGCGTGTCCCCCCACCGGCGGATTTTGGACAACAAAAAAAATCCACCGATCCGGCGCGTGAGCTACAAGGAGCCTCAGCAAGAGCTTCAGCTCTGAGTCAAAGCAAGAGCTTCAGCTCTGCTTCGGGGGGGTCGCCGGGATGGCTATGCCGGGGAAGGGGGGGAGGAGGGAGGGTCCTCCATCTGGCGTTCTCTTCATGATTTGCGCATCCGGACCCCCCCCCCCAGGGAAGGAAGGGAGGGGGGGGGGGGCGGTACCCCATCTTGCGTTTTCTTAATGATTTGCGCATCCCCCAGATGTTTCGGGGGGTCCCAAAGACCCCCTCAGATCTAGCCGCTACCGCGCGAAGGACCCTCCCCTCGGAACCCTCCCCAGACCTCCCCCGGGGCTGCTCCAGGCACCCCCCCAGAGGAGAAGAAAGAGGACGGGAAGAATCGAGGAGAGAAAGGAGGCCACAGAGCCGCGGAGATCACCGAATCCGGAGCGCCCCACATCGGCGGCACTGGCCAGAGGCCATTTAAAAAAGTCCCAAAAAATACGAGAGAGAGAGAGAAGCTGAGTGCAAAAAATACGGGGGAAAAAAAATCCTACTGAAAACAAAAATCGTCCCCACACTGTGTTTTGCCTGTTGTTGAATCTTCCTCCCGTAGAGAGGGACAGGCCCGACCTCAGCCCGGGAACCCCGCGGGCCCGAGGGCGGCCCCACAGAGAAGCCTGCCGCCCCGGGCCCCCGCCGCGAGGGGCGGGCGGGGGGCGCCCGAGCAACCCGCCCGCGGGGCGCTCACAAGGGGGTGGGGGGAGGGGGGAGGGCTTCTTAGAAGCAGGCTGCTTCTTAGAAGGCGCCGGCCTTACATCTATAGATAAGGCCCGCGCCTTCTAAGAAGCAGGGGTGCTTCTGAGAAGCCCTCCCCCCTCCCCCCACCCCCCTCTGCGCGTGGCTGACGCCCGCGGGGCGCTCCTCCCAGCGGTGCGGCGCGAGCCCCGCGCCCAGCACGACGTCGAAGGGCCCGGCGGCGGCCGCGGCGTCCAGGGCCTCGTCGCTGTGCCAGTCGAGGGGGCCGGCGGCGCGCGGGAGGGGGGCGCGTCGGGGGGGCGGGGGGCGGAGCCCGGGCCCCCTCGCGCTGGGAAAAAAGGCAGGAGAACCTAAAAAAAAAAAAAAAACGAGGGCAGAAAAAAAAAAAAAAAAAAAAAAAAAAAAAAAAAAAAAAAAAAATCCGGACGGGAGGCTCTTCGCTCACGCCGGCCCCTCTGGGGGGCCCCTTGCGGGACCCCGGGACAGGCAAAAGGCGGCGCGGGACGGGAAACGGGTCCCGGGGAAGGGGTCGAGGCCTCTGGGGGTCGACGTCGTGAAACAGTCATGACGTCGGGGATCCGGGAGGTGGGCCCCGCAAGCGCGGCCCGGTGGCAGGCCCATGACGGTGTTCACGCGACCGCACCGACCGTGCGGACAGGAACCTCGCCTCCCGTCCTGCGCGGATCGATGGCCCGATGGGCCTCGAGCCCCATCTGCCGAGGAGGGCGGCCCTCCGAGGAGATCTCTGCGTCTTGGGGGAAGGGGGAGACACGGAAACTTCGGCGAAGGCCAGGGGACTTCCGAGCCCTCTAAGAGGTCCGCCCCTTCTCACTTTCCCCCCCGGGGAGCACCGCCTAGACAGGAGGCGAGGGGCTCGGGGGGGGGAAGACATCGCCCCTCCATCGCCGACTCGTCGCCATTCGAGACCCGGGCGCGAAGATGGCCAGGCTCTGCGCTTCGCCCAGCACGAGTCGCGCAAATGCGTGGCCATGAAAGTCAGGGGTAACGTAAGGTCGGGCTTGTCCCACTACAGGCAGATTTGGAAGGAAAAATTGAAGATGGTCCAAAAATACTAACAGATAGTCACAAATGATCGAAAAATCGTCCCCAGACTGTTTTTGTTTAACTATCTTTGAATATTCCTCCTGTAGAGGGACGTGCCCGACTTGAGGGGAACGCGAGGGGTGGATGGGCCCGAGAGGACGAGAGAGGAGGAGGAGGAGGAGGAGGAGGAGGAGGAGGAGGAGGAGGAGGAGGAGGGCCACCGCGAGGGGGGAGATGGGCTCGGGAGGGGGGGAAACGTCGCTCTCCTAGGGCTTTGCTGCACTTCTGCTCGTTAACCTCTGTCACGTGCGGAGCTGCACTGTCAGTGCCGCGCTTTCCTAGGGCTCTGCTGCGCTCGTGCTCGCAGCGCACACCACCAGAGGCGGCGGAGAGCTCGAGAGAGCCACCTGCCAAAAGTCGCCCGCTCACCGCCGAGAAGGGGCCTGGCCGCCCCGGCCTGCTCGAGAGAACGCGCGGCGGCGCTGCATCGGAGGCCGTTCGGCTCTCACGCCACCCCCCCCTAAACTCAGGTCGGGCGTGTCCCCCCACAGGCGGATCTTGGAGGAAGGATCAGACACACTCCAGGAGCATCCAAAAAAGATCCAAAAAAGATCCGCTGTACCGGAGGCCGTTCGGCTCTCACGTCCCCCCCTGGGCCTAGGTCGGGCGTGTCCCCCTACAGGCGGGTTCTGGAGGAAAAATCCACGAGCACTCCAAAAAAGATCCAAAAACACGTCGACCCCGGACTGTTTTCGTGATCATACTTGAATATTCCCCCTGCGGAGGGACACGCCCGACTCGACACGGGGCTCCGCCGCCGAGCGAAGGCCGCTCGGGGGGGGGGGGGGCCGAGGCGGGCGGCCTTCCGCAGAGCGGGCGCCGCGGCCCGCAGGAGCCGCCCTGCCTCCCAGGCCGCCTCGCGCCGCGGCGAACAAAAAAACGCGCGGCGCAGGGCGTCCGCTCCGCCTCGCCCTCTGGGGGGGGGCCCTCGCCAGGCCCGAGGACCGGGCATGCAGGTCGAGCATGCAGGTCGGGCATGTCCCCCTACAGGCCGATTGTGGACGAAACATAAGAACGAGTCGGAAGATATGCAAAAATGATCGAAGGCGGTCCAAGCGTCGTCCCCGCACCATTTTTTTTCACGATCTTCTGAATATTTTCTCCTGTGGAGGGACAGGCCCGACTTACACCTGCATGCCTCGCGCACCGCAGAAGCGCGCAACCAACCCCCCTCCCAGAGACAGTTCCACGGCAACTGCTCCAGCTCGAGCGCTCCCCACGCACCGCGGCCTGCGAACAACCGCCGCTCAGAGGCTCAGAAATGCACCACGCTGGCAACGAACACACGGGGCGCCGAGAGCCGTCCAGCACCATGGGCCGGCGGAATGAGCGAAGCGATTCAATGTTTCGTCCGCTGTCTTCGACACCTTCGGGTGCCCCGTTGGGCTGTTTTCGGAGCCGCTTGCAGGGGGCCACATGCGAACCCCACCCCTGCCCCCCACGACTTCTGAGGGGGAGGCTGGGGTTCACTTCGCTCGGGAGCTCCCGAGTGGAGTGAACCCCACCCTCCCCCCCAGAACTCGTGGGGGGCAGGGGTGGGGTTCGCACGTGGCCCCCTAGCTTGGGCCCCTCTGCGGGGGGGCCTTTCGTGGGACCTTTTTCTGCGTCTGCTTGGACCCTCTGGGGCCGTCTTGGACCCCTCCCACAGACTCCGCGCTCCGAACATGGCCCCCGCGGGGGCGTTCAACTGAATGACTCGGGGTGAAGAAACGGTCCCCGGGAAGGGGTCCAGACCTCCAGGGGTCCCACGCTGTGGAAAAATCTCTCGGACGTCGGGGGTGGAGGCCGCCCCCTGGGGGGACGAAGGCACTGTGATCGGCGGATCGCACCGCGTCGTCGACGCATCGGCGACGCATCGGCGATGCGGCGATGGATGGAAAAATCGACCGACCCTGTCGGCGTGTGGAAGATGCTGTTCCGTTTGACTCGTCTTCGTCGACGTCGTCGTCGTCGTCGTCGCCGTCGCCGTCGCCGCCGCCGCCGCCGCCGCCGTCGCCGCTCCCTCTCTGTCCCTGGGCCCGTCGCCGCCCTCCCCTGTTCCTGGGGCCTCTTCCTCAAGCGCGCCAGCCAAAACGAAAACGAAATTGAGCAACGCCGTAATTGAGTCGAAGGGAAGCTCCTTCCCTTTGATCCCTTCCCCGCCAGGGATGGGGTGGTCGCGGGGGGTGGGGGGTCCCGGGGGGGTGTCCCGGGTGGGGTCCCGGTGGGTCCCGGGTCAGAATACCACCCCTTCCTGGGGGGTACCCGGGACCCAAAAAACAAGACGAGCCAAGAGTGCCCCAAGAGGCCCCCAAGACGGTCCAAGAGGACCCCGAATCGCCGAACGATCGATCCAAGACGTCTGTCTGTACGACCTCCACACGGCCCAAGAAGGCCAGAAGACGCCCCAAGAGGCCTCGAAGAGCACTCCCAAGAGAGCCCCAAGAGGCAAAACTCACCAATTCCCCTTGAATTGTTCAAAGATTTGGGCGTTCTCGCCTTCTCAGCTTCCCGACGCTCTGAAACGGCCCAAGAGGCTCCAACGACGCCCCAAGAGGCCCCCCAATAGGCCCCCAAAAGGGCTCCAAGAGGGTGCCCAGACAGGGGAACCAAGCGGGCATTTCGAGTCCTCGGCCCCGAGAGGCCCCCAGGAGGCCTCAAGAGGCCCCCAAGAGGCCCCCAGGAGGCTCCAAGAGGCCCCCAAGAGGCCCCCAGGAAGCCCCAAGAGGCTCCCAAGAGGCTCCCAAGAGGCCTCCAGGATGCTCCCAATGGGCCCCCGAACCTGCCCCCCAGAGGCCTCCGAGAGAGCTCCGAAGAGACCCAAAACAGTCTCCCTGAAGACTCTGACCCACGTCAGCGTCGTCGTCGTCGTCGTCGTCGTCGCCGTCGTCGTCGCAGCCGCCGCCGCCGCCATCGTCGTCGTCGTCGTCGTCGTCGCCGTCGTCGTCGTCGCCAGCGTCGTCGTCGTCGTCGTCGTCGTCGTCGTCGTCGTCGCAGCCGCCGCCGCCGCTGCCGCCGCCGCCGTCGTCGTCGTCGTCGTCGTCGTCGCCGCCGCCGTCGTCGTCGTCGTCGTCGTCGTCGTCGTCGTCGTCGCCGTCGTCGTCGTCGCCAGCGTCGTCGTCGTCGTCGTCGTTGTCGTCGCAGCCGCCGCCGCCGCCGCCGCCACCGCCACCGTCGCCGTCGTCGTCGTCGTCGTCGTCGCCGTCGTCGTCGTCGTCGTTGTCGTCGTCGTCGCAGCGCCGCCGCCGCCGCCACCGCCGCCGTCCGTCGTCGTCGTCGTCGTCGTCGTCGTCGTCGTCGTCGTCGTCGTCGTCGTCGTCGTCCGTCGTCGTCGTCGTCGTCGTCGTCGTCGCCGCCGTCGTCGTCGTCGTTGTCGTCGTCGTCGTCGTCGCCGCAGCCGCCGCCGTCGTCGTCGCGTCGTCGTCGTCGTCGTCGTCGTCGTCGTCGTCGTCGTCGTCGTCGCCAGCGTCGTCGTCGTCGTCGTCGTCGTCGTCGCCGCCGCCGTCGTCGCCGCCGTCGTCGTCGTCGTCGTCGTCGTCGTCGTCCCACTTCAAGGGCCGGCGGCGCCGGCCGCGAGGCCTGCGCAACCGAACTCCGGATCGCGCCGTGTCGCCAGCGCCGCGGCAACGAGGCGAGGCCCTAGGCATCCATCCAGTCTTAGGTCGGGCATGTCCCCCTACAGGAGGATTTTGGAGGAAAAAAAAAAAGGTTCAAAAAATAGTCAAAAAAATATCGAAACCAAATCGACAAATCGTCCCACACTATTTTTTCACTACTTTTGAGCATTCCTCTTGTAGAGGGACATGCCCGACTTAAATCGAATCGGACTCCACCCAGGCGGCCTGCATTTCTGCCCTCAGGGGCCTCCAGGGCGGGGGCAGGGCCCTCCTGCGCGAGAAGATCCCCCTGCCTTCTGGAGGCGAAGGATCGGTCAGCATCGAAGCGGAAAACCGGTGCGGATCGAGGTGTGCGTCAGATCGGGCCGCATCGGCACGGAGTCGGACTCAAAACTGCGTCGGCCACGCCCGGCTGCACCGCGGCGCCATGCAGGCACTGGGCCGTGTCGGCCCGTCGGAACACCAAAATCGGACTGGATCGGGCCGGCCAGAGCTACCATCGAATCAGATCGATCAGATCTTTGGACGCCCGAAATGGGTACGGAAGAAATGGGTACAATGCCCAACAACACATGTTGTCCCAAACCATCAGCGGCCGCTGTTGGGCAGGCGGCCTTCTGTCTCAGATGGACACAGGCCGCGGCGGCACCGACAGCGAGTCCTGTTCGGAATGAACAAGAACTGCTGTTGGGCATCGTACCCATTCTTTCCGTGCCCATGTCGGTCGTCCCGAAGATCGGAGTAAACACAAATAACAGGATTCCCCATATTCTCCCATATTTTCTGGGTTTCTTCCCCCCCACTTCCCATATTTCCCTATTTTCCTGTGAATCGACAATGAATTGTGTCTGTGTGTTTTTTCCCCTCCTGAGTAAACCCTGGAGGGCCCATCGCCCCGCCCTACACCCCAGACATGCGACGCCTTGATCTTTTCAAGACGCGATCCCTGGAAGTCACCTTGACCTTTTCAAGACACGCGACGCCTTGATCTTTTCAAGACGCCTTGATCTGTTCAAGACGCGAACCTCTCCCCAGGGCCAGCTTTCTCATCCAGAGCCGCTTCTTGAC